CAAGTTCTGTCAGACAGTAACCTCACGGTGTCGACTATAGCAGAACGCAATGGGTTTAAGTGTTTCGATAAACACAGGCATTTCTCAACGAATTTAAAGTCTTCATACTCGACGTACTAATCCTTCGTAGTAATTATTACAGCACTTTTTATGCCTTAATTAAACGCAGTATGTGCGTATCATACGTTCTCAATTCCGTGAGCAGACAAATTTAAAAAGTAAAAATTTTACGAACTTAACCCTCATCACTGAAGCAGCTAAACACTGCCATCACTCGAGTTTACTGAATCTTGAGCTAAAAAGCTGCATTTGGAGCATTCGGAGGAAAAACTGTGCGACATCTTAGCGTGCACTGTCATTTATATTACAACCAAAATGGGCGAAAAACCTGAAGAGGAATGAAGCTGCTGTGAAACAGAGGTATCGACACAGCCCAAATCACAATTGTACGTATACTATCCAGTACCATTCGGGTTGTCGCGCTCATATATTTTGTTACTGATATGCCGCAAAAATTGAAGAACGCAATGCTTAAAATAAGTGTTTGGAATATGTGAAGACAAAAAATCATGTTTTCAGTAAAGGTCAGAAAAAGCACAGCAAAATATCAAGCTAAAGAATTCTCTTATATTTCAATCTGCCTTCCGAAAAAAAATTTGGAAGTAGTCAGAGCGATACACTTTATAGAGAAACTGTTGAGCAGATATATCAAGCCACAGCACTTACATGGAAAAATTCACAAATTTCTGAACTCCCTGGACCCAGTATTAATACGAAGGAACGACAGGCGGCAAAACAGTTTTTACAGTAACTAACCTAGCGATGGTACAGCAGAGCGCAGCAACAAGCTCTTTACTTTCGCCGATTTCCTGGAACGCATCCAGAGCATCTTCGAGCCGATGTTCTGGTGAATTTGAAAACAACTCGGGCACGCGTATGTAATACATCGGAACCATTAGTACTGAAAGAATCACAAAGCCAGACACACCTGAAATAACATGACTTCTCTTCTTCTTTTCATCAGCTACAAAGGCCAAATCAAATAAATGGCAACGCGTACCAGACTAGCCGGTACGATCATGCGTTTTGTGCAATTCAGCCCATCGAACGATTGCCTATTAATG